GAGAGAGAGAGAGAGAGAGAGAGAGAGAGAGAGAGAGAGAGAGAGAGAGAGAGAGTACAGCAGAGTAGCCAAGGTTGTAACTGGGTTGCTTGTTCTTGAATCCAGTGGAGTGATGAGAGCCACAGTCAGTTGTATGCTTTGAGAGTTTTGCTGGAATTTAGATTGTGATCAAACTGATGAGGTTCATAATGTCATCAAGGGATGACGTGGAAGTGAAAAGAGAGGGTGAGAAGTGATTTTTTGAGAGGGCGGATTTCCCTCAGGATAAATAACTGGATAGCGAATGAATTGTCGTTCACACCATTTTTATTCCCTGAGTTGTCTCCTTGCTCATCAATGTTAGGATAAAATGGGATAAGGTAGGGGAAAAATATGAAAAAGAGGAAGAAAAGTTGATAAGAAATGAAAGGAAGGAAAAAATCAGGGCGAATACTTGAAAAAAAAAAAAACTTGCATGATGTAGCAAAAAACCTTCGAGCATGTGAAGAAGGGCAGGAGGCAAAGAATCAAGGGAAAACTGACGATGCAGCTATACAGGCAAAGGCGACAAAATGAGGGGGGACTAAATGGGAAGGAAAATGTGAAATAGAACGGGGAAGAGTGAAAAAGCGCAGGGGAAAGAATCAGTTCTGTGATTCGAAAAGGACTCCCTTGGTTAACACCTGTTATGGCGTTATTAGTACTTATTACGATATGAAAAACTTTTCCAAACGGGCATCCGGATTGTCTGGAAATCTGGGACAAGATGCTGTCCAGGTCCTGGGGTATGACCCGTACAGGTAAAATAAACATAAATATAAAAACTTGTTAAAAGTATACTAATCACAAAATTTGAAACCGAAATTCTCATCTTAGAGCTAATTAAAAAAGCAAAAAACAAAAAAAAACCTCTGAAAGGAGAATACGTTATCCAGCATTGGAATGCGAATAGGGGCTGGGAATGCACAATGTTGATATGGCCGAAAATGGCTGAGCCCTTGAGACACCCTTTGAAAGCATGCCAGGGGACTGGCCTCTGGTGCGCCATGGGTCAGGCTTTGAGAATAAGGGAGGAGGAAGGGACAGGTCATCCAACCGCGCGTGCAGCGCATGGTTTGAACTGGAAATGGACTGGACATGGACATGCAACAATTGACAACCCAAGCGTTGCAGTTCAGGAACCAATGGCTCAAACTTGGGGTTGAGATAAAGGGAGACAGTGAGTCAACAACGGGGTTCTCCTGTAGAACGTGTGGACCCAAGGAACACAGGTCAGACGATGACAAGGGTGCAGAAATTGTACGGAATGGTACAGTTTACATAAGCTAAAAAAAGACCCAACTGGCCTAGCTCAGTTGGTAGACCCCTGAACTGAACTGTTGAAATACAAACCTGAGTGTGAACTTCATAAGACCCTTGCCAAGCTTACTGTCTAGAACATAAAACGTGCTCTACCCGAATGGCTGTGTCCCCGCATCAAACGCGGTATAACGGTTGAAATACAGACCTGAGTTCGATCTCCACTCGAAGCAGATACTCAACTGGAAGCATATGAAGCGAACAGGAGCAAAATATACTGCGAATTTGAATTACCTGTAGGGCTGGTCAGTTCAAATCATTGTATCTCAAGGCTGTTGCCCCTTAAAAAAGAGCTCAAAGAAAGGAACAAAGGAATGTGGTGTGACAAGGGGGAAGGAGTTGTATGTGAAACGCATGCCGGGGGCAAAGGGCGTTCCTATATAAAGGTCAAAGCTATTCGTTTGTGGGGGTGTAAATTGGGCCTGTGAGGGACAATCTGTATCTGTAACAAGCGCTTTTGGGCGTGGGGAGCGGTGCCGAAGCGGAAGTAGGAAACGTAGGAGTGAGGTGAGAGGTGGGGTAGAAGAGGGGGGGGACCAGGACATGGACATAGTCTGTTTGCAAGCATCCCCTCTGGGCTGGCTGGGGTATCATTACGAAGGGACTGCAAGCAGTTTATTTGGAAGTCGAACCCCCCTCCTTTATGGGTTGGCAACTTGGCACACGTGGTTAACGGGGGACCCCTTGTTTCAGCTCCTGAGTAACAGGTCCAAAACTGAAATTAGGGTTTGGGGGTGAAATTTTATGTTTTTTTTTTGTTTTTTTTGTTTTTGTTTGCCTGTTTTTGTCTTACTTCAAGGTTGTTGTGTACCAAATTTGGTCTCATTTGGAGCATTGGAATTTCCTCTGATAAGACCAATTCCAAAAACGCTGAAAATTCTGAAAATTCGCTGAATCCAAAATGTCATTGAAGTGCACTTTTGTCTTACTGTTTCACCCTGTTTTTTTTTGTTTTTTTCGTTTTTTTTTTTTCATGGTTTGTTAATATGGTGTGCGCTCTATGGAATGATGCAATTTTTGGTTAAAAAGGGATTCTGGTTTTCTTATAAATAGCATTAAAAAAACGCTGAAATTTTGGGTCTCCTCGAACGAGAGCTTCCGGATTTGTACGGAGGCCACAGGACTTCTACGTAGAGATCCTCGTTCCAGCGGCGATGTGGTGAACGGGAGAATGTGTACGAGGATGTCTCCTATTTCCTGTTGGGCTGGGTGCACTGGGGAAACAACTTGGAGTTAATCGTGAGGATTGTGTATGCATTGTAATTTGTAACACTTTGGACTACCGTCTTCACCAGAATAGAACGCCCGGTCATCATAGCTGTATTTGGCACAACTTTCTGTCCAGATGCAGCGATAATGACCGGGCGTTCTATTCGGGTGAAGACGGTAGTAGGGCATGTACGTCCATTGGCTGAAAGAAAGAAAGTAGGGCACCTCCTATTCTGTTATCCTGAAGTAGGGAAACACTGAATGAGCATCGTTCCGCCCCCCCAAAAAAAAGAAAAAAAAGAAAAAAAAGAATGAGCATGCTGAAGTGGCTTATCAACGGCACGAAAAAAGCGTTCAATCCTTACAGCCTTCATCCACGTATGTTGCGGCCTCCACTTATGATGAAGACCTTGAAAGTTAAAACGCTCTGTTCTTGGTCAATATTTCCTCGTATATTCAGATCCTTAAGCCACCACCAGTATGCCACGGGCCGCCTTGGGCCTCTAATTATGTTTCCATGGTGACAGGCAGGCTGGTACACCCAGAGTGCGGTCTCCATCTGCACTGGCAAAAGCATCACTGGGCCTGCAGTGTACTTACTGGTGGTGGCTTAAATCGCCACTATGTTGCGCAACGGCCCTGGTGACCAGGAGGCCTACAGTTTTTCAGTTGGCCCATTGGATTTAGGATTTAGGATTGGACAGCAACAGTTCTCTTTTCCTTTTTCTTCTTGTTCTTTTGTCTGTCTGCAAAAACTACGCAGCATCGTGTTTGCGTTCAGAGGGGAACGCGAGAACATGTTCGCCCGAATGCGAACGGGCGCCCAAAACCCTCCTGAAGGAAACATAAAAAATATTATAAAAAGAAAAATCTCAGAAAAATCTGAAAAAATAAATGTCATATAAAACAACAATACAAGCAACTTGTGCCTTGGAGTCATGTTCATATTCTTAGCGAAACGTGAGTTAAAAATAAAAAACCGGAAAGAAAATATTATTATTAATTTGTTATTCTTGCTTACGAAAAAAAAAAAGTTCGACTGAACACCTTCGCGAGCCGTTCGTTCGAACGCGGAGGGGCGCGAACACGTTCACCGTGCCACGCACGTCTGCAAGGTGAAGTGCCTTTATGAATCGACTTCTGAAGTTCTGAGGAGGAAGTTCTGCCTTTGATGTAAGACACGAGACGGATGTTTTAATTGCATCACAGATGCCCTCTCATTGGAACTCACTCAGTGTCTGATTCCAATTCTACTCCTCATGATATCACTGTAGAAGCTCGTCAGTTTGTTCGATTGTCGATATCAAGGGAACCCGGAGACCTTATTGGTGACCCAGATTGTTGTCTACCTACCGGCCTCGTATTCCTGACAACTAAGTTTTGCAGCAGCAGCTAACAAATGGATTATCAATATTGGGTAGAGTTTTATGCAGAAGGTCATTTTGGGTTTGCTAAGAATTACCTGCTAGCATTGGCATGCTTTATTTATTACCCATGTATGCAGCGGCGAGGGGCGGGGGGGGGGGGGGGGGGGGGAGAGCGGGGGCGGGTGTAAAAGGAGCAAAAGGCCATGAATGAATCTTGACTTCGACAAGTCTCACGAATTGGCGATAGGAGAATTGAGCCTTGCTCGGCTCCCCTTATTTGTTTGAATACTTTTGGTGGATGGTGTTTCCACTCCCCGCCGACTTTGCAGTGCTCGTCTTTTCTTCTGCTATGGCTTAATCAAGCTCGAGTAAATGGTAGGGGTGCTGATAAGAGCAGACACCACTAGCATGCTCGGGGAGGCTCCATCTATTGGTGGGGAGCAACACCTGCTGGAAACCGGGTCCAGCATCCCTTGACATTTAGAAGTGGGTGGACTGTAAACAAACAGAGCTCATGTTGACATGCCACGTGTCCATCGTACTATAAACATGAATGGTCAACTAAACCGACACGTAGGCACACTCCATTGACTGATGAGCAGCATTGATTGCCCTCAGTCGAGGGGATTAACTGCCCATCACAATCTAAATCAAATCCCTACTCTGAAACCCTCATCATCTGCTAACAAGCCCTTGCAGCGCCATGAGGAGGAGAGGCATTCAGAATAGGAAGTCAGAANGTCTAAATCAAATCCCTACTCTGAAACCCTCATCATCTGCTAACAAGCCCTTGCAGCGCCATGAGGAGGAGAGGCATTCAGAATAGGAAGTCAGAGAGTAAGAAAGTCAATTATAGCGAATCCCAAAGTCATTACCTACCCTGGATAGCTCTTCAGATACTAAATCAGAGAAGGAAGATCCTAGGCCGGCGGGCGGGGTTCCACGTATACCAATTAAAGTCCCCCCCTCCAGATAGCACAGGAGGGTAAATGAAGGGCCTCCCCAAGGCTGCTGTCCTACCCTGCGACCCTCCCACCCGGATCCCACTGAAGCAACGCAGTGCTATCTCGCCCGCACAAACAGCGCCAGATACTCATGAACATGCACAAAATGATCCCCTCCCCAAAAGGCCTCCCTCCACCGAATATGGCAAGAATCGTGGGAGGAGCCCGCTGCACCCAGCGACCACTCCCATCTGAATCGATATTGTAATTGTTGTCTTCATAGCCAGCGAAATCGGCGTCATTATTGGTGGCGACGACCTGAATGACTTGGATGCGTGTGTCATCGTCATCTTCGCGGAGATTACAGTCGTCGCCGTTATTATTGTTGTTGTTGTTGTTGTGATTAATGGCGATATGGGTGAGATTGTTGTTGTCTTTGCTGTCGATGTTGGGGTTGATGTTGTTAACGTCTTCAATGATGTCGTCATCGTCATCATAGCAGCGGTCCTCCCGCGTAGCGCAAAGATCTAGCCCCTCCTCAAGCTCCTCGTAGTAGCGCCGCATCAAGTCGTCCAATCGTGGGCAGTCTGTAACCGCATCCAGGGGGGGGGGCGACCCCTCCTCCAACCCCCATGTGACCTCCAGTAAACACTCCCGCACACTCTGGATCCACGAGATCGACGGTACTATCCTTTCAGCAGCAGCTGATCGCAGCTTCGCCACCACCTGGCTTACTCGCGCACTGCTCGCTTGAACGGTAGTAAGCCATGCATCAGCTCCTAGTTCCCCCGGACGCGCCATCACCAACCACCACTCGGTTCTCACCCCTTCGTGTGTTTCACCCCATGTCACACACCTCTACACACACCTAGTAACACCCCTCCTTACTGACCTTGCCCTCCCAAGAGGTCCACCGAAAACACGCCACGTGGCGCGCAACCGGTCAGCTCAGAGGCCACGTCAGCTGACGGGGGAACCGCCCTGACGTGTCGCACGAGGAGCAGGCCGGGCCGTGCCGGCCGGTCCCCGGCAGGGGACCAAGGTGCGAGCGGTCCGTAACGCAGTGCCGCAGTAGGCCGCAACTTGGTTACCATTCTCAACGTTCATTTCCCTGATTTCTCTTTCGGCTTGATTATCAACACACCCAACCCCTAACCCTGTCACTTGTCGCCGCGAAGTCATTACCTGACTGACACATACATCAAGTTTCAAACCTATACATACAACCCACTACTACAATAGACACCACCTCCCTATGTTAGGTCAACGTCAACATTAGCGTCAACCACCTACTCCGACAATTGACTTCCGCCTTTTCCTAGAAATCCTTTTCCTCCTCTGATGCCAACAATACTTGGTGTTGATGTCCTGCAACGGGGCAGAGTCGACGGAAGGTGATAGGAGCCTGTATCGCAAGGCATTGTTTGTGCTATGTAGGGTCAGTGTTGTCCTGCTGACCGTCAATTAGTTTTCCACACCGGTACCCACAATTCACTCCAATGTCGTGGTCATGCCATTATTCACGGAGAGATACACCTACTCTTTTTTTTTTTCTTTTTTTCTTTTTTCTTTTCCCGCCGTGGTCGTGCTAGGCTACCAGCCGGGCCACCCCGGTCACCTTGTTTTCCCGGGCAGGCGGGCCGTGCAAGGACCAGGGAAGGTCTCAGCAAAAAAAAAAAAAGAAGAAATCCAAAAAATTCGAAAAAAAACTGTGTTATGCAGAAATATAAACTGAACAACTTTTGCCTCAGGGTCATCCAGCGGCCTACCGTCTTCACCCGAAAAATAACGCCCGGGCCCCGGGCGTCATATTCAACTTACCCTAAAAATGTGAGATTTCTGATTTTCGAGTTTACTCACTTCTTTTTTTTTTTTTTTTTTTTTTGGTTTGGCCTCGGCCGGGCAAGTGGTCCCGGGCCACTCTGGTAGCCTAGTGGTCGTGCGACTCATGCCATTATTAAGGGCAACTTTCAGGAGAGATGCACCTACTCCGATAGCTGTGCTGTGTATTCAATAGAAGACAATAGCTACACCTTTTTGTTCTGAACTTGGTCGACTTTTCTCTGTGTCCCCCTGCCTGTATGTATGTGCGTCATGGTCACATGGAGCACACCTTGGTGGCCTAAACGAATCTCATCATTGGTGGGTGGGAACTTCAATTTTGTACAGCAAGCATAGAGTTGTAAATCAACACGGAAGCATACCTCGGAAGACCAAGTTAAGACTGGTTGTTTAGAACAGTAGTTACCGAAAAGGTCTGTAGGGACCCAGAGTTCGTCAAAATATTGCCCTCAGTCCGGTAGAATAAGGTCCAGCCAGTATGGGTCTCAGCTGAAGAAGACCTTTGGAAAGCAGTCTCGGGAAAGCCCCAGCAGGGATCCAAAATGGGCCTTGGAACTAGCACAGGAACATGTCTGTGGGTTGTAGCTTTCGGCCAAGTTCTGAGGTCATGCATGGGCCTTGAAACAGGTCCCAAAAGGTCCTTCGGTCTGTAGGCCTGGGGTCTTGGGTCATAACGAGGTACCCAGGGCCTCTAGAAGTCAATAGCAGGGCTTAGGAAAGTCAACGATCAGGTCCTACCGGGTCTAGAAGTCAAAAGAATCGAAGATTTTCCCAGGTGTCAATCATGGCCACACAATCCGAAAATTCAGCAGTAGTTGCCGACAACTTGCACGGCCTGCTGGTCGAGTGAAGACGCTGACCACAACGGATTATTGGTTGCGTTTGGAACAAGAAATCGCAGCCCTTTGAGGCACAGGCAACTTGAGGCAGGCCAAGCCGAGTCAACAGTGCAGTCTCGGTCATTCGTGAGCTGTGCCTTGCACCTGTTGGAGTGCGGCTGGGAGCCAGTACTCTAGCCCACATATTTGAATACAATGCATATGTGTTCTATTCGAGTCATCAGTTTTTTTTTTCAAAACTCGAATACAACGCATATGTGCCTTGCACTGGTTGGAGTGCTCTATCACTGTGAAGAGAGAGAGAGAGAGAGAGAGAGAGAGAGAGAGAGAGAGAGAGAGAGAGAGAGAGAGATGTATGTTGCCAAGAACCAGCCAAGGTGTATATATTCCCTTTGTTGGTATTGGTGTGTTTCTGTTGAGAGGAGAGGCTGGCCATTACTTTGCCTTTCGAAGTCGTGCGGCATGTCAGAGCAGCTTTGAAAGGCACTGTGAGGATTGAGCCCTCAAGTAGGGGCCTTGCCATGATGTACATGTTCTGGGCAAAGGCCCCAGCAAGCCTAGTGCCCGCCCTAAGTGAAGGCGGGCCAGCAAATCAACAAGAGCCCTCTCGGCCAACATTTCACGAAGTGGGGTCTATACAGTTGCAGCRCGCCAGTTGGTTGGAGTGCACCGAGTCTCGGATTTCAGCAAATGCTGAAATGCCCAGGGCCTCTGAGTTAGTTAGGCCCTGGGCACTCGAACGTGAGGCCGACAATGCATGCTGGGTAGAGAGGCCGAAATGCCAAAGGGAAAATCGGCCCACTATCTGAATCTGGCCGCAGGCCTTGAGAAGAGAGGCGCAACTGCATTGCTCTGGGGCCCAACTGTATC